TAAGGTTCTCGATCACTGTATGGAGGATATAATCTTGAAACTTTTGAATGTGAAAACCATGACTGACGCTAACAAGGCGATGCACTGTGAATTTATTTCATCGATTCTCCATGCATCCATTGCTATAGCTAAAAAACTTACCTCTCAAGATATATTTATAGTGTTTCAAAAGAACGTTTCTGATGAGGATGCAACAGGCCAAGTAAACTATGCAATCAAAAGTCTAGAAGACCTCCTCTGCATCACCGAAAGGAAACAACAAAATATTAAGATTAGTTATATGCAAGTAGGCCTACTATCCACATTTTCGCTTTCTAACATATTAGAGATAATAATGATAGTTTATTTCTTAGAATCTGACGTAACTTGAAAGTGTATTCTAAATAAATAAGAAAAAACGAACTGCGGATCAAGTGTTTGGGAATGACTATTTTGACTATATCTATGGTATTATAATCACAGGTACGGAGTAGTATTTTATCATATATACTCCGGATGGCATCTTCTTTACAAGCGGTAGCGAGCATCAGATTAATTTTACGAAATCTGCAGTTAAAGATAATCCTGAATTACTACAAAGCAACGTGAAAAGGATAATTAGTATAATTGTTAGGTTGTTGAAGGATCGGGTTAGTGTAGATAGTTCTCCAGCTAGTAAGAGGCTAGGATCAAAAAGTTTATTAAAAAATAATATGTATCATAGGGCAGTCCCAAACTTGTATTTATTTTTTTGCATGTAATAATAAAAAATTTTTCTTGGCAAAATCGTGAATAATGTTCACGATCAGCCAAAATGGCCTATAAATTTTTCTGATTTTGAATACTAGCATTATAGAGCATTAAAATATTATCATGTCATCTGAACTTGATTCATTGAGACAATGCATCATTGAGCTTGAGGCTGAGAATGCTGAGGTTAAGATCAAATATATTAAGGTTATGGATGAGAATACAGAGGTCAAGGCTGAGAATGTAAAGTTAAGATGCATTTTGGAAGAACATGAAGTTAGATTCACAAGACTAGAGCAGAGAGATAAAGAAAAGACCAACCTTATTGCCAAAATGGATGATGATATCAAGAAAATCAAACAATCGTTGGTTAATGCCAGCTCTGTTGAGAACTCCAACAATATTGTTTGCCTGGATAAACTAGAAAAGATGGCAAACCCATTAAATACATCTGATAGCACATTTAATTCTAATGTATGCAAACCTATTTGCATAGAAACTAAGTTATTGGAGGATAAAGAGACAGATATTTCTTAGATGAGATACATAAGAAAAGGGTTAGTCATGAGATAAGGCAACGTAACAAAGAAAAGAAAATTCAGCGTGAGTCAACTGTCTCTTCTGACTTATCATATGTTACAGAAACTTCTCTAAGAAATTATAATAAAAATGAAAGTAACACAAAAACTGTGAACATTGTTCACGATCAAGAAAAGATTTCATTGGAAGACTTTGTGCAAAAAATGTCTGAAAGACTTAATGAGGATGTTTCCCAGAGAGAATCGGATTCAAGCTTAGTAACTGAAATTGTATGAGATTTATTACAAGGATTTCTGGTGAATGATTTCCAGAGGGAATTTATTAATACTAAATTTATTAATAGAGAGCATTTTAATTCTTCATCTGTCACAGAAGAGCTTGCCCGTTTATTTCATCAATCGAGTATAGCAAGGAAAAATTCAATCAAAGCTAAGCAGGAAGAAATTTCATCTTGGATCGCTACTCTGAAAGATTCGAAGATAAGGTCATGCAGCTCAGATCCAAGGATAAAAATCTTAAGGATAAGACAGCAAGGTCTCAGATTTATAATGAAATGAAACCATACCTTTCAGGCATTTCTGATGAAATATTTACGCAAGATAACAAGTAAAGCAAGAAAGATCAATAAGCTATTTGGATATGATTACGATCCTATAACTCTAAAAAAGATTAAAGGTATAGGATGGCATATGGTTAATCAGTAGTGCTGACAGTATTTTCAGACTCACTAATCTTCAAATTCAATACATTATAGATTAAGTGAACTTAACTATCACAATAAAACTGTGAACAATGTTCACGATCAGAGTCATGTGACTTCGAAAATGATCACTAGTGATACAACTGTTCTGATCACACTGCTGAGCATGGGTCATATAACTAGCAAAAAATCGTAAATGCATTTCAAACCATACCAGCTGAAGTACCAGCATTTTCTCAGCCAAATGCTTCATCAGAAATGATTTCATCAGACATATTTCAAGCAAGTGTATCATCTGTATCCCAATCTAAGCCAGCTTATGATCATTCCTATTTTCGTAATAAGATATTAGATCAATATCCTAATCTATATAGAGAATGTAGTAGTGAAAATTTCGATTATTATGGGATTACTGATGAGACATACGGGGACTATATCTGCCCATTATGCAAATTAGGTTATGATGATGAAGAAATAGAAGGTAGGTATAAAACAGGATCTTATTTTATTAAATGTGAATAGCGTGAAATTGAGATAGTTGCATAGTCTTATCGCTTTACAATAGTCTGAGAATTTTAATCTTTTTTTTCGAATGAATAGGTCTATATGAGAAAAAAGGGATTTAAATTGTTTGCAGTCATATAAAAAGGAAAATGACTAAGTCTGTTAAAATACTAACCGCTGATTATCTGGATTGGCATGCTAAATTAACTGGATTACCAAGTATTTTGACAGATAAGATTTGTTTCAAATTATACAAAAGATATAAAAAAGAAACTGGAAATGAGCCATGGCAATTATCAGAAGTGCATGCATCGGAAGCCGGTCTTCTCATAAATTCGAAGCCAGAAAATAAAGTATCCTATTTATCTTTTTCTAAACAATGTGAAGAAAAAAGGGCCTATCACCTTTGAAGCCAGACCCGATCCAGAGTTAATTATCAAATCCGTGTTAGAGCATTTCATATACTTGAAATTCTGAAATAGTTTTAGAGGAATTGATAATTATAATTTTGTATCTGCTCAGCCATGGAGCTCACCATGCCCTATTTGTGATGGAAAACATGGGAATTATGGATTACATGGCTCATGGTACTGCGAAAATGGGAATCAATTTCCTTATGATTCTGAATTAGCGAAATTGTATTCCTAAGATAAGTTAGAATATTGTCTTACATGCAACACTTCAAGTAATAAACCCAAGTTCGCAATTGTAGCATAGACCGGTTATGTGAGACTGATCACCTGAAATGCGCAGAAGATATCGGATAAATTCTTGCCAAGATTTTCTTTTTTTAAATATCATGCGCAGTAAGTAAGTCTCTCTAAACTTCTCCGCAGTATATGTTATGCGCAGTAAGACGTCATTGAAATTAAGTTTATCAGTCATATGATTAACCAGTAGATCCCGCTTCTATTGGTTGGAAGTGTGAAGAGTTTTCACGATTATCATATGACACAGCATGTATTGGCGGGTTGTAGAAAAAAAAAGCTAGAATAGAGGAATGTCGTTCGAAAAAATAATCATGTATAGTAGTCTATAGTCATAGAATGGCAACATATACTCAGCACCATGTAATTTATTTTAGCTTAATGAATTGCAAATAAAAAACGTTTAGGGTACTGAGTGATCCGTGAAATGTAGTCAATTATTTTTCTCGTGGCGATTGGTAATAATTTTTAGACCGTACATACTAATTTTTTATTACTCGAGCGTATATGCATGTTAATACAGGTAATTTAGGAAATCTGGATCGGCAAATTATTGGGCAATAAGATTGCCAGCGAAGATCAAGGGACTTTTATTCTCAAACTTTCTCACATATTCTCAAAATTATTACGTATATTATTATTAAAAAAGGGCCCCTTGATGATCTTTACATATGGATAGCGTTAAATTCTTTTATTGTTAAATTAAGGGGAGACCGTTGATCAGATTTTCGTGATGCGATCATATTAACGTAATTCCCCCCAAAAGCATATACCAAAATTGATCCTGCAAATTATATAAAAAGGTGACACCCCCAGTTAGTAAATCTTTTTATCCGCCTTGTGCAAATATAAGCAAAAACCAAGCAAAAAATCAAAAGAAAATTCCATCGATATTTACAATCAAACGAACTCGTATATTCTGCAAAGTAATAATAAAGTAGGTTGGTTTATTGTTCGGGTTAGCTTCTTGAAACATGTCATCACGGTGCTAATCGATTTTTTCAACTCTACAGATGTCAATGAAAATTTCGGTCATTGCTTTGCTTGTTATATATCGGCATTTTGATATTCGCCGAGAAAATCTTTGTCAATCATCATGCGCACAATAGACGCGGTATTACAAAAATAAATTCCAGTGATGAGATATTATCTTATCTAATCAATTCCACGTGTATCATCAGCGTAGTAAAATTTATGACATGCTGAATTCTTAATACTTTGTGCAGTATCGTACTAATGATAAATAAATTAAGCGTCAAATTTCTTGAAAACAAGGCGGATTGGAATATACTGAAAGTGAGATGTAACGGTAAGTATGAATCGAAAATATTGCATTGATTATTTTTTTTTACCTCAGTTGCTAATCTCTCGAATTTATTCTGTAGGTTCGAAATTTCTTAATCTTAAGGAAGTTCTCCTATGGGAAATATTATTTTATATAATATATGCGAGTGGGGGTAATATAGATAGGCAAAAATTTGTATGGGATAATTTATTTCGGAAATCTGATGTAGAAAGAGTATTGGTGTAAAAATCTAGTAGTTAGCAATAGTGATAGGAAAAAAACAATTAGTATAGAAATTTACAATAGAGTAAAGATATAATCTTTTCATATGTAAGATTGAAATTTTTTCTTTGCAAAAAATCGTTTCCTTGAAAAAAAATCGTATCATAAATAAAAAATAAGTCCAGAATCCCGTTCTATGTGTCATGACGTAATATCTTGATAAAATTTTTTATTAGTTGTTCCGCAGTATTGATCATTAGTATTTATCTGTTATAGATTAGATCGCCTTTAAGTGCTTTATTACTTTGAAAAAATGACCCAATATTTTGATCAAGTTGAAATTGAGCTGTGGTCCCTCGACGGTCTGGCCGAGTGGTGTGCCCTCAATGTTTCATGCGACAAAAAAAGAATTTTAGATGGCATGAAAAAAGGAATACATGATGTACTTAATAAATCTGCCTCAGAATATGCTAAACTGAAGGCCAATAATATGCTCAAGAATTTGGAGGGAAGTATTAATCTTCTTTTAGTGTTAAACTATTGGCACATTTCAGGACTGTTAGTCGGCTGGGTGTTGAACTGTTAGTTCGCTGTAGTTTAAGAATGCTTTATCCTTCTGTAGCACATTTCGGGACTGTTAGTCGGCTGGGTGTTGAACTGTTAGTTCGCTACAGATCTCATGTGCAAAACAATGCTCTCTCATATGTAAAGATAGTTCTAAAGTTTGATTTACTGTGAAATTTTGTAGACTTGGAAATTGGATAAAAACAAGAGCAATTTTTTCGAGTGTTTAGAGAATCTGAAGAAAATAAGAAATGATGAAACACTTCAACTGGCACAAATCAAAAGTGAAGAAACTATACAACTGGCTGAGATCAAGGTACCGTTTTTTTACTCATCATTTGTGATTTGAAATTTATTAACCCTTATTCTGATGCAGTCGAAAAATTTGCAAGAACATACCATCAAAGTAGTGAAATTTCATAAGAACATCGCTGAAGATCTCACCACTGTTGATCGTAAAAGGAAAGAGAGTCCATTAGATGAAGATGTGGAACAAGAATATGATGCGAAGACGACGTCAGCTGAGGTCCGATATCTTGCACTTTATCACCGACTTTATAGTTGTAATTAATATATTTTTTTTTATACAGAACTTCAAGAAACGTTTATTAGATTTTGATTATGATTCTGATAGCTCTATCGACGAAGCCGAAGATTCAGAGGATGAGACTTTCGATCTTAGCAAATTTACATTTGATGGGTGGGTTGATAAATGTGATAAGAAAAGATGGACTTTAAGCAGTGGCGAAAAAGTCAGGGATTTTTTACTAAAAATGACACGTAAAGAAATTGAAAAAGTAAACCAATTAGAGAAAGTAGACGGAAAGATTCTGAGCATCATAAGGTATATCATATTTGTTAAGATTATTTTTGATATTTATATTTTAGCCACTTATATACGTATATCCAGACTTGGTCTGTCATCAATAATCGATCTGTCATCGGAGTTCGATAAAGGAATGTGTACATGGTTTGGGGAAAATTGGGAAGACCTGAAAATGAAAGTTTCGAAGAATATAAATTTCGAAGTAAAAAAATTAGAAGGTGACACTTTATCTGATGCCATTAAAATGGAAAAGGTTTGTAAAAGGCGTGTTGATTGTTGTTATGCGCGGTACTTGTAACATTAAACCATACTCTTAAATGTTTAGTTATGTGCCACATACCACTACTGGGAAGCACGCGCTTATCTACTAGATAAATTAAAAGAAAGGCCAATTGATGACAAACATCGACAAGTTTTAAAAATATATTATCATCTGTATATTTTCATTTGTTTGATATAAATTTTTTCACTTCTTATGATTTATTAATCTCAAAATATTTAACCATCACTAGAATCGACATGCTGTTAGAAAATCCTTGTACCTTTGTTAATAAGGAAGGAGGAAAAAAGAATTTGACAGAAATCGAATATATTATGAAAGTTTCGAGTCCCATATTGGAAATAATTTTTTCGAATGATCATGATTTAGTCTATCTTAAATGGTAAAGATTTTCGTAAATATTATTTTCTGATAGTGTCTAATTTAATTTTGCACATTCGTAGGGGCGAGACAGTTTCTAAATCAACTTTAAATCGAAAGATAGATTTGAGGGTACTGACTGCTAAAGGCGATATAGAGTTATCACATTCAGAATTTGCACGCAAAGCAACACCAGTAAAAATAATCAAAGATCGCAGTAAGTGTCTAAGAACTAATAAGTGCATATTGGATACCTATCTTTTGCGTAACCTTCCTGAGGAAGCTGTCGAAAATTCCACTTTGGAATACAATCAGCCGGTAAGACAACTAGATAACTTCTAAAACAACAAATATTAATGATGGTTGTGACTTATATCATTTATTATTGCGTTAGGTTTAGAAGGACAACTCTTCGCTATTGATTTACTTGATAATGGGTTGTACTTTAGTTTGGATGGTCCAACGTATAGATTCCCTGCACAACTATGCGACATTAATACGTTAAGAAATTCACTCAAAGTTTTATATTTTTTTAAGGTGAGAAAACTAAATTTTGAATGATTCTGTACTTCTAGCAATATTAAATGCTTATAAAGACTTATTTGATAATAGGAAAATGCAATCAGTAAAGTCAAGTATTTGTCTTGTGATAATGGTAATGGCATTGCGAAAATACTTCATTCAAGAGCAATAACCACAAAACCTAAACATCACAAGATTAGCTATATTAAGAAGACATATTTTACGCCAAAAGAATCTATATCCAGTGAAATCAAGGCTCTATATTCACGAGAATAATTGTTTTGCATATGTACATTACATGGAGAAAGATAATGTTCATTTATCAATAATGGATTTGAGCCAAAGGGCCATATAATCCTAACTTTGAATGATTTTTTTAGGATCATGCCATGGCTGTTTAGTATAATTTGTTATATAAATAAATGTCAATTCACTTGTAACGTGCTCATGATACTCACATGAAATATACACAGATCATTATATACTTTTTCTTCGCTCTAGCACAAAAAATGAATCCTATAATATCATAATATAAGTTGATAAAGAATTGCTATATCTCAATGAAATAACTATAATTCACTAAAAACACTATAAATCAATAAAAACAGTAAAACTGCTATAAACTGCTTTACACCCATAAAATGGATAAAACTAGCTTCTATAATGGTTTGAATCCTGTAGTTGTGCAGGCATTAAACAATCTGCAATATACTGTAGGTATAGTGGTGAAATGCCAGAAATGTGGTGTTCTCATATTCGTTACCCATTTAAGAAACTTCTTGAATATAATCCAAAATACTTCTCCAAGAATGGATTTATTCAAATGATTGAAAGAGTATATATAGATGGGGATTTAAAGCTGGGAGACGCTCATTTCATATTTATTGCACTGTATGTGACTCCTTGGTGTTTATCTGTGAAAATACCATCGAATATGCAAATAAACATCTGAATGAATGCATTGCTAAAACAGCTAAAAAGCGTCTTGCATATTCTAATCCTGTTCAGAAAAAAGGAGGAAGAATAGCATCAGAATTAAGTAAAGATGAAATTTATGAGATTTGTGGTAAATTTACTGATTTTCCTAGTCGGGATTATAGTATTAGATGTGATGCAGACTATGAACTTTAGAAAAGACTGCATATCATATAACTAATAGTGCAAAAGTTATCCAACAAACTTGGAGAACTTTCAAGTTAGGACCTGAAACATGGTGAGATGAGTCTGGAATATAGTGAAAAATGATGGTACTTTCGATAGGAAGAAATACTTAGGTATACTTTTAACTTGTGAAAGGAAAATAAATCCTCAGATTCAAGAAGAATATGATTTGCATACCGATGAATATGTCAACTGCATTAAAAAAGCATATAATGAAAATATTGCTCAAAAATATATTAAAAAATATCTAGCCAAACGGGCTATAGGGTACAAGGAATATAATTATTATTGTCCTAGTGATTGGGCAGAAAAGAAGAAAGACCAGTTATATATTCGACTAACTACTATAGCATATATAGTTACTTTTATAAAATCGTATCAGCAAGGTTGTAGATTCGTTGGTTATAGTGATTGGATTATTATGCTAAAATATCTAGCAAATCCTGAATATTACCATACTACTAAAGACCATTATAACAATATTGTTATAAACTTTGTTAAAATTTCAGAATACGCGTGATATAAATGTAAAAAGGAAGGAAAACTATATCTATATAATTCACTAGAAATTGACATATTCAAATCTTGCTATATTACTACTTTCGATGGAGAGTTAACTATTATAGATTTCTCAGATTTTAACAATAACGGTAAGCATGTGCAACGAATTTTCTGGACTATAGAATCAATATTAAAATAGTATATTTCATATTTATGTATAATTATCAATAAATCAATCAATTTATTTTTTTTTACTTCGCTTATACATGTGGTGATCACCTATTGAAATATACCACCTGCAAGTTTATGTGAGACAGGATAAATTATTAGCCATGCATAATTTGCCTATTCTGGGTTAGATTTTCTAATCTATTTTAATAAAGTATTTTTTGAAAAGTTCAGGAAGAATAATGAAGCGATCTTGGGGATTCTTGATTGCGAGACAATACAACTATCAGTTTGAGAATTTCTATGCAGTAGTTATTCAGCGAGCTTACAGAAATTACAAAAAAAGACCTGAGTCTTTAGCAAAATAGGTTTGGGAGGTAGTGAGGAATAATGGTACTCCTGACAATAAGAAATTTTTAGATATTATTCCTCATGGTATAACATATTATTTTATTAATGGAAAACTAATAGAATCTAATTATATAAGTGATCGATTTTATGCAGAAAATAAGCATAACATTTATTTTGCTACTACTTGAACAGATGCGAAGAGAAATCAGTTATATGGACGATTAGGTACTGTAGCATATATAGCTACTTTTAGAGTATTATATCAGCAAGGCTATATAGTTGTTAGAAGTACAAGCTAGTCTGACATATTAAAATAGTTACAGAATCCCAAATATTATCATATTAATAAAAAATATAACTTTGAAAACATCATCA